GTAATTCCCCTTGGCCTCAAAACACTTGTGTCAACATTTGTTTAAGTCAATTTCAGAGGCCACGCGGAACTAAATCAGGCGAATGCGATGGTTTCGGCACGAAATTGGTTAAAAATTTTGTGAAATACTCACGAAGAATCAATGCTGTATGGGACGGTGCATTATCGTGGTGCAAAATCCAAGAATGTCGGCTTCATTTTACGTATACCTTTGCGCAATACTCTGAAGTAGTATTTCTTGTTGGCAGTTTGGTCGATCGGAAGTAACTCAGAGTGACCACATTTCGATAATCGAAGTCAATATAGCCTTGATTTTTGACCGGTTTTTTTGGCTTTGGCTCACCTGTGCCACGATATTCGACCCATCGATCGTCTGCTTCCGGGTCGTAGGCATATATTCAAGACTCATCGTCGGTAATAATACGTTTCATGAAATCCTGCTAGTCGGAAAGTGAGAGTGATTTTGGCGCTTTCACTTTTCTTAAGCCACAATGATCTCTAAAAATGGTTTTCACTAATTTTTTCGATAATTCAACATACTAGTAAGATCTCTGACTGTTTAGCGGCGATTTGCGTGAAATTTATACTAAAAAGTCCGACTATTTTTTGCCCACAGTGTTATTTGGTTCACTTATATTTTACGCTAGTTGATTAATCGAGATTTGGTTTAAAGAATATTATTAAACGAAAAGCGACAGAATATTCAAATGACGACGAAATATTCAAATGATATGGGGCCAGTCCCAAGTAAATTGAAATTTATTATGCAAAACCTTTAATAATCGGTTTTATCGTTTGAGAAATCTATTTTACAGAATTTCTCACTCCACCTCCCTCACTGTAACTGTAAAATCAAATTACAGCAACATTAGAGTTTGAGTACAAATAACATCTTGCTGTTGTAAACAATATAAAAATCTTTTATAACCGTTAAATATAGCTCATTAAATGGTTGTAAAAGATATTTATTGCCAATATTGCAGAAAAATATTTTATTGAATTGATGAAAATACGCTGCCACTTCAGTCTTCGCAAACAGAACATTTTATTACAACCAAACGAAGCACAGAGTGACGGGTGAGGTGATGGTCAACAGCAATGGGCGCCAAAAGAACGGCACAAAAGCGGTAAGGAGCGCAAAATTTACAGAAAAAAATCGATAAACATGCATGCCACAGTGCCATTTACATACACACACATACATACACATATACGAAAATACAGTGAGCAACAAAGCAGTATGAATTTTTAACTGTAAGCGCTTACATAAGTATGGGTTTGTGTGTATAAAAGTATGTGTCTTTATGTATGTGAGTGTGGTCTTTATATAATATATGTGACTGTGTGTCTATGTGTAGTATGTGCCTTTTTGTATGTAAGCATGTGTTTGTATGTATGTGTGTAATTAAGTATGCACGTATATTTAGCAACACGAAAGGCCACAATTCTGCCAGCAACTGGCACTTCCACAAACATAGCACAACTGCGCACACAACAACAACGACAACATGAATTTTGTGCTTTAACGATTTTCTTTGGCCTTTTCACATGTTCAGGGCTGCAATCGACACCGTCAGCTTTGGCACGTCACAATTCGTCATATTTGAAGGAAGCAAATAAATAATTAAAGCATGGCTATGTATGAACGAAAGCAAATATTTATTAAAAACTTCACAGTTGCCGCGTTAAGACATTGATTAGCCGGCTTGGCGGGCGCGTAGAAGGGTTATGGGCGTAAACTCTGCACGCCGACAGCTGTGAAAAATTGCCGTAATTTCGCACACGCCGCACCGCAGGTGCAAAAGCAACTGAGCAGCCGAAGATCGATCGCTTGAATCATGCACGACATATATGAGGCTTATATATCTTCGTTGTTTTTGAGACGCTGCAATTACTTGCAGCTGTTGGCCTGCTTTCCGCAGCGTAATTGAATAATTAATTTAGCGCATTGTCTTGCTTTAAGTGTCTGATATATTTGAGCACATAAATATGTACATATATAAATAAATATATTTTTTTCGCAGATGTATATTATTCTCTGCACAATGGCACCTTCTTTCGAATGAAAAAATGAGCAGCGAAAGCATATTTACAGCCGCTTTTTGCGTAACACACAAAGTTCATTGTCGTCGATTTTAGGCGACATCATAAATTTACTGCAGTGATTAAGTTCATTGCATTAGCGTGCTAGCGTTCATTTACTAAATTTACTAAAGTCCGTTGGAAAATGTTAAGTGGCACGGGAAATATTACCTCATCAAGTAATAAAAGCTACTGTGTGCTTTGAAGGGTATGTCGTTGCGTATACGCAACATTAATTGTGACACGCAGAATGACTACAAAACAAGAAAAAATGCTAACTTCGACTACGCTGAAGCTTTAATACCCTTCACAGTTGTGTTTAGTACAGCAACAATGGCATAAAAAGATTTTCATCTTGAGTTTGTTTGGTCAGTTTGTATAGCAGCTAGATGCTATAGTTGTCCGATCTGAACAAATTCTACGGAGATTGTAGCGATATCTTACATAATTATCTATACCTAATTTCGAGATGATAGCTTTTCAAATAAAAAAATTTTCCATACAAGTATCTTATCATTCAGTGTGTAAGTCAGTATGTCAAATATACTATACAATAAGTTGTCAAAAAAGTCTTGCGGTATTTTTATTGCATTTTTTTTTTTCAATTTTCAATTGTTCATAAAATTTTTTTTTGATGACTCATGCCCAGCTCTTGACCGATGCTACGGCAGCTACTATGCCGGCCTCTTTCGACCAATTCAGCGATTTTATCGCAACTTTCGACGACAGGCCTTCCGGAGCGTGGCGCATCTTCGACCACCTCTACACCAGAACGAAAACGTTGAAGCCATCGTTGTGCGGTGGAAATGGAAACGACAATCAATCAAACACGTGTTAGCGCGTGAAATGAGCTTTCCAAAAAGGTATAGCATGACCCGATGCGACGAATAAAACTAGAACTACACGCTCTCAGCGCCAACGAGCGAAAATACCGCAAGACTTTTTCGACAACCTAATATATGGTTGGCTAAGCACATGCGCAAAATTTATTATGTTAAGCTTATAAATGTCTTACAAAAAATTCTAAAAATTATATTAAAACCTTTTTTATTTTCAAATTTGAGCATATTGATTGAAATTCTCCAAAGGAACTTCGCCTGGGGATATTAAACATTTTAGCAGTTCTTTAGCAACAGGTTAAATGGCAGAAAAAAGCAAAATATTTGATAATAATCCTGCCCTCCATAGCCCTTTTTATTACTCAGAAAGAAAATTTTTCCTTTACTTTATTTATCATGATTTCACAGTCCATTTTCACATTTCCTCTCAGCAAACTAAACGCATTCATGTAAACTTTAAAATATTAATTATAAGCAAAATAAAGCAGCAATTCGTCAAAAGCTGCATTTGTGTAAAATTGCTAAAATTTACGTTCCTCACTAAATAAGAAATGCAACTGTTTTTGTAACACTTCAATGTCTCATAAGCACAAGTGGCGCTCTACTGCGTATACGTAACATTTGTTGGCACACCAATGAGCAGAAGCGAAATTCGCACAATAAAATATCACATATGTATATAATATACATATATATTTGTGCACATTTTAAATGCAAAACAAAGCGTCATATGATATATATTTATATATATATATACATATATATGTACATATATGCATAGATATGGTATACGCTTGATGTGAAACTATAGGAAGTCTCTCTCTCTCTCTCACATTCGCAACTACGTATTTCTGCGTCACTTCTTCCTGCATTGTTACTTTTCTTTTAATTGTTATAGTCTCGTTTTATGCTTATCTTTTGTCTTGCCATGCAGTCATTTGAATGTGCTTTAGTTCCTTCCACTGCCATAGTATTTATTTCTGCTCATATGCGTTAGCGGAAGGACATATTTCTATTTTAAGCAGCCAGCGAAGGAGCAGTTGGTATATAGTATAGCTTGTAGTAAAGTGCGGAAGTGGGGTTTTAAGTGCGTTCGTTAGCTTCTGCTTTTTGGCTTTTAGAGCGCACTAGGTAAATATAGTCTTATAGTTACTAACAGTGAAGCTTCTTTGGTGTTCGCACATATGAACAGAAATGATCATTTCAAAGAGTTTAGTTAAGATTTAAGATGTCAGATTGATGAGGATCGGTTTTTCTGTACATTATGGGATATAACGATCTGTAGTAATGAACGGTGAATGGACATCCACTGGGTTGTTCTAAATACTACTATAATAAGTGAAAGCAAATTGTCTCAAAATCTGTATATTTCTGTATGAAGGAAACATTTCTGGTAGCAAAAAATGAAATGACGCCAATGATAATGTCATTTATAAAAGCTATTTTCCATATTAAAAAAATAATATTTTTGAAATTTGAAAATGATTCATTAAGAGGTAAGATACCTGTAGAAAATACTGAAATTGGTTTAAACTTGAATTATATTATAGATCTTTCTAAGACAAGAACGAATATCGGCATAACGTATTTTCGGGTGAAAAGCGAGATAGTGGCGGCATATGATGTTAATATTTAAAGGGTTACATGAGTTTTCTCAGGTCAAAAACAGCCTTTCTTCAGCAATAAGTTAATAATAAACGATAAGCTACTAAAATGGTCATTCTTATCCAGATTATATCAGGATGGTAACGAGTTGAATAATTTGAACTTGTTTCTAGCATTGACGCAATCGTAGTAATTTTTAGAGGACATTTTCAAAAGGCATTCATGCTATAAGACGAACCGTCAAAGTTGTATGGAAAAAGTTGAGGTGAACACATTCAGGCACTTCTCTGCTAATATCTAACTTTTGCAAGACTAAGTTTGAAAGATTGCAGCAGTCATACTTTCGGCAAACCAGTATGCGGAGCCGAAACCGACACCGACACTGACTCACCAAATTTGCAATTGGATCCGGATGGGCTTCACAATTCTAATGCATTTTTCTTCTAAGGCCAAAATTTGAGAGTTGAAGACTCACCTGATCATCTGTTCAGCTGTGCAACCGAAATCTGCAAAAAACAGTGGAATTAAATTAATTATCACTTAATTTCAGACGAAAATAAACTATTCACAGATCACAACAATCAAACAATTATTGTTAAACAGATTTACAAAAAAAAATGTAAAAGCCGCTAGAAATGATTGTGATAAAGTTAACGCATTGACAAAGTATTTAGTATGTAGTTGATACTTTGTGTTATAATAAGTGCACTGAGTGGGTTCCTCAGTAGTATTGAACCAGCTCATGTACTAATACCAGCAATCATTTTTATGAACATACAAATGGATTTGAAAGACTTAAATTTAAGAAGGAAATAGGATCCAATTACAGCAGAAGTGTTGAAGCATTTTCCATACAAAAGTATACTAAATCGTACCCATCTTTTAAAATGACACATATTCCATGCCTTTGGAAAGTGCCGGTAGTCATAATTCCTGGACCAGGAACGGACTATCATATAGTCTCATCATATAGTTTTCGAAAAATGAGTTCTTCAAGGCCGAAGATCTTCAATCGATGAAAATCACTTAATCACATCAGTTCGGCTTCAGAAGTAAGCATTCAATAATCGAAGAAATTCTTAGAATAATACATATAACTAATAGAAAAATGTGCGGAGGAAGGAAAATTGTGTTTAGCGGTATTCCCTAACATTGCGTAGTCGTTCGAAAAGATGTGACACAAAGTCCTTGTGCAACGACGATTGCCTTCAGGTTGAGTATTGCGTACTTCTAGGATCGTATGTCAGTTTGAGATTTTTTCGTGTAAATAAAGGAATTAATTCTGCAAACTTTAAGAAATTGAAGCATAAGCACCACGCAGTATGACTGCCGCTCTTTATAATCATATTTGGCGAAATATGCGTCTTAATAAAGCAGAAAAAGCTGCGCTAAATCTGCAAAATATATTCAATGCGGTTGACAATAGGACCACAAAATAAAGAATAAGGCTAAGCGGTGCCAAACTAATTATTAGACCGGTATAGTCATATAGATTCTAAGTGTCGGTTGTGCCAATGATAGAAACATAAGTATTACTCAAAATTCCAATATCAGATGCTAATAAACAAAGTTAACGATCCCTGAAACATAAGAAACTTTCACTTTCCATATAATGCACTATATAACTACTAAAACTGAATGACTCCATAACTAATATAATCTGAGAAGAATGGAGATTTAACGTAGAGTATGTCAGTGAATAAGTGAAATATCGTAGTAAATCCTATAGGCATGCAGATATTTCTATTGGTATAATGCCAATTCCTACCAAAATGAACATTAAATCCCTTGTTAACAAAATAATTAATGTGAATTGAAGTTAAGATATATATTGTTTTTTCGCTAAAAGAGGACTACCATCTGATCAAATTTAACCGAACTGTTACATTTAAACAGCGGCAGCAAATCGAATCGATTACGACATGAAATGTTTGTCTAACGATTTTTACCTTATACCATTTATACCACCACGAGACCTGAATTTTTTGCCAAAGCGACGTCAAGTAGATCCAGAAGAGATGCTTGAAAACTAAGTTAAGGAGTTACATGGGTCTCCTCGCGTAAAAGTCAGCATTTTTTCAACAATTTTGTCTCATATAAAAAATTAAACATTTTGTTAGAATTTTTCATTGTTTCAAACACACGCTATTAACAAAGAAACTCTAAAATTTTTGGAAAAAAAACTTTAAACTCGGCCATTGCGACGGCCGGTGGCCCGTTGACAAAAAGATGCGTCCGCGTTGGCAGAAAAACCCCTTACACAGGATCCTTACAAGATCATCTAAAGTAAAAACATATGTGTTTTGAAACCTTGACTTAGAATTTGCATGAAGAAAAAAGAACTGAAAATTGGATTTTATTCAGACAGTTTGATAAACACAAATAGAAATTAAGATTACAGTGAAAATTTTGCAATTTTTTTTTTTTGCAAATACTTGTAAATGCAAATAAATTCCTGCGTCCGAGTCTTTAAGAGTTTTATCTCATTGACATATATAACATTATATAAAGATCGATTAAGTAGTTTTCGAGAAATCTTTCTGTTGTGTATTTGTTGCCTATTTTCGTTCTTATCCTCCTCCCAAAGCGGTCTATCTTTTTGCATTAGCATTTATTTCTTGTTTACTCTTTTAGAACTGGTGCGGTCTATTCTCTCATACGCTTTCACATAAGTTAAGATTAGGTCACGTGAGAAACTCTACTTTCTGGAGTGAGCTACTCTTCTAAGTTCGTTTAGTTCCGCTATTTCTTTACTGTAGCTCATACACCAGGAGAAAATGGAATATATTCGTCGTTAGAGAAAGAGCGGTGAGACCCATCGTCATGTTTATATTTGTGCTGATATTCTCTAAAGCTGTCAAGTCCACTCAGGCGTCGGGTCAAATAATAATCGGTTTCACCATGCTTCCAGATTTCTTATGTCTCTATCTACATTTCGTCGAAAAACGATATAATTCACTCATTTGAAAGAAAATTTGAGTTTTGGTTATAAAATGGTTATATATTGGTTATTAAACAGTTATATTTGGTTATATCTAAGAACGGAAGCTGAAAATTTTATGCTACTTATATGTAATAAGATATAGTGAATCGTAAACTTAAAAAAATCAAATTCGCTTTTTTGGTGACACGTTGTTTTGCGTTTAAGATGATATGTAGTTTTTGGTGGGTTTTTTTTCGCAATAAAATTTTCCCAATATCCGTTATTTGAAGTACTTTACATGGCATACTATCTTCGCTTAGTAAATTTGGTTCTGATTTTTCTATTTTTAGGGACCTAACAATGATTTTTTCCATAATATTTCAGAGGTCCTCCTTTATATGTATATATTTTTTCGCTTTTGCTGACACAGCACACATCCGTACAAAAGCAGTGGCACAGAGAAACTGACGAAAGGCTCCATTTCCGGTTCGTTGGCGTCAGCTAGTGTTGATGGTCAGCCGCCTTTGATATTTTCCCTTTTTTACAATAATTTTTCCAGCATTCAACGCTTCATATAACGGCTCCACATCCGAACGTTCATTTCAGTGCAGTATTTAGCGGTTGTGTTGTGAATTTTTCGCTTATGCGCGATTTTAACACTTTTGTAAACACACACACATGCACACACATACAAATGTGTGCTTCGTTATATATTTCGTTATATTTCGGAAACTTCATGACCGTGCATGGATTTTAATTTTGTTGACCTCAATGTCACAGCTTGAGCCGCGCGCAGAGTGCTGAGTGTCGCGTGCTGTCATAAGCCGCTTGCAGCTGCTACCAATATACTCACTCGCACCACACACTATAGACCGCAAATGCTGCTCAAAGCGCTTTCGAACGCCGCAAAGTTCTTTCTGCCCTTTCTCATGTGCCATAATCCATACATTTCATTTCTCCATTACCATTCCGCTGTGTTGCGATTTCTACTCATGCGATTGCTGCGACTGCCTGTCAGTATAGTTGAATCTTAGCCGTATTCGCATTTCGCTTGGCAAAATGCTGTTATGAGTTGAGTGAAGATTGTGTCATGCCGTTTTGTCAGCGGCTTTCCTCTCATTTCATGCTAAGTATGCTAGCCATTGTTAGACTTTGTGCGTTGACAGGATGTTTAGAAAACGAAAATTTCAATACGGGCGCTTGCAAGTTCATAAAGGACATGTTTGTCATGAGGAATTAGTTAAGCGCAATAATTAATATTTTAATACAATGATACTTAGAGTGTACCAACAACACAAAAAAAAAAAAAAAAAAAAAAAAAAAAAAAATAAAAAATTTTATTTTTTTTTTTTTTTTTTTTTTTTTTTTTTTTTTTTTTTTTTTTTTTTTTTTATAGATTCTAGATTTTTTTTTTTTTTAAATTTCCTTGTAAAAAAATTCGTTTGACTTCATATTTTATAATATGACTTTTTCGAATGACCTCTCATCTCCTATAGCAATCTAGTAGTATTACTTAATTGAAAAATTTGTTATTTCGAAAGCCTTTCTTTCGTCACTATAATATTATTTAACTCGTCTATAACCGCGTTAGCGCATCAAAGAAGAAGAAGATACTATTTATTATGAACCTAGTTTAAAACTCTTACACATTCAGCAATTTCGACGAGCAGTGATTAGTAAATGATAACTAAAGAATAGTCAGGCTCTTCATTCTAATATCTTTTTAATTTTTTTCTCTTATGAGGCTACTTGCAAAGCCTGGTTTATTTTAGAACGTAAGTCTTATTGTGCGCTCATCTAAACAAAAATTTTTGAGAATAAACAAAGCTTTATTTATTTTACTATTGATTGACCAAGACTTGTAGGTGGCGCTGTGTTCAAGGCGTTTCAAAAGTTCATGAATACCAAGTTTTCTCACAGTTGGCGCTGCTGTCAACGTGTTTCAAAAGTTCATATTTTCGTTCAAATAATTTTCCGTGGAAGGGGACAAATCTGACCTAATTTTGATATGCGTTTTTTATACCAATTTGTAACGAAGTTTGACTAAAACCATGTAGGGGTCTCTTTACTGATACATTGCCTATTGTTTCTGCAACGGTTTTTTTTTTTTTATAAGCATTGGTAGGTGGCGCTGTATTCAAGGTGTTTCAAAGTTCATAAATACCGTACCAAACGTATCTACCTGCAAGGTAACAATCCGAACTACTCGTAAAACTCTTATTTATTTATGTCGCTCTTGTTTGATAAGTACAATAGAGAAAATACACGACTGTGGTAAACTACAATAATGATTAATTCTATTGGGTAGTCGAAAGTTCGTATTTTTACTCTAACTTTAACTTATTATTATTTCTTTTTTTAATAAACTTTATTGAACCAAATATGTATCATTTTGGTCGACCAGTTTTGCCATTTTTTCGCTAGAGACATTATTCCATCAGTGTAAAACCTTTCTGGTTTCTCGGCGAAAAACTGCGACAAGTACTTCTCACAGGTTTCTCTTAAAGCCGTCTTTACTCCATTAAATCAGTTCCGCATTAACCAAAAGTAATGGTAGTCCGTTGTTGCAAGGTCAGGGCCATAA